CACGCAAGTGGCACTTCAATAGCAGAAATCTATAATCTGAAAACACACACACACACACACACACACACACACACACACAAAGAGGGGGGAATCCATTGTCCTTTCTCTCTTCCTTTCAAATAATTCGATTGAAACTGGAGGAACACTTTTGCAGGGAGTGTGCAGAGTCCAGTGTTGGCTCTATATCCAACACCGGACAAGAAAGTTCAACTCGAAGTGCATATTTTGCCCTACGTGGGTCCTACCAGGATCATACCTTTTGCAGCTGGAGGCCCAAAAGTGCAATTATTTAGGCAGCAGTTTGTTGGCCCAAGATTTGGTAGCAGCTTACAGCCATACTAACTGACGTGCATTTTCATTCAACTACGTTATTTGGACAAGTGTGGCAAAGTGCAGTCAAGATCAAGCCTGCATGGCCCAAGATTTGGTAGCAGCTTACAGCCATACTACCTGACGTGCATTTTCATTCAACCATGTTATTTGGACAAGTGTGGCAAAGTGCAGTCAAGAGCAAACCTGCATTTACAAACAGTGTAGGAGCGCCATCACCACCCTTCCTTCAATACTCTGCAGTAACACAAACACAGAGGAGATTATCTGCCCCTCTTCCTTCCAAATGGCAGAACTACATTGTGACAGAAAAAGAAGTAAAGGTTGTGAAACAGTGAAAGACATTCCACGATGCAGACCCCAAATTCAAATCTCAGGGTCAAAATTCCCAGGCCGAGAGAGGCCACGTTGGTCAGTTTCAGAAAGGTTACGTTGGGTACCGCAGAGGTCAAGTACAACAGGTACCCAGTAGACAGTCACATCCAAGAGGCAAAAGTCACATTCCATAGGCAGAAGTCACGTCCCACAGTCAGGTCATATTCCACAGGCAAGGGTAACGACTCACAGTCAAGGGTCACGTCCCACAGACCCAAAAGCAGCAGCACACCAAGAAAAACCCAGGAAGGTACCGGGCCTCAACATTCTGAAGCAAAGAGGCTGCGGGCAGCTGTTACCAGGCCCAAGTCAAGCCAAGAGAAGCAGAGGCTGGGACGAGTCAAGGCTCAGTCCAAGTCAATATAAGGACTGGCCAGCCACATTTCGGACAGAGGGCTCATTCCCAAGAAGTGTGGAAGTGCTGCTGAGGCGCTTGTGCGCTATCTTCGAGTAGCTAGCGCTGGAGTCCTGGCTGGGCAGGGCTATGCTGAGGAAGGAAGGCCGCCATAACCCCACAGTTAGCAGTAGGAGGTATAGCTGAGTAGTAGCGGATATATCCAGAGTCAAGATAGAGAGAGGAGGGGGGAGAGAGAGAGAGAGAGAGAGAGACCTACCTTGGATGAGGACGTTAGATATGGGTTGTTGAACTCTGCGCTGAAGAGCGCTGGTGACTGGAACTCTGAACCTGTTTAATATGATAACTGGTTGGAATTTCTAAGCTGCACCTATCTGGACTTCGCATCTCTGGTCTCCTCCAGTGTGGATTTCGTGTGATCTGTCAATGTGTGTGTGTGCTGAAGGTGATGAACAGTGTGGTTCAATGCAGTTGCCAAACGTGGCAATTTTGGATACCCCATCTCTCCAGCTGCTCGGAAAAAAGGTTCATGAATGGTGCTCTGCAAATGGAAGGCATCAGACCGACCATAAAAAATCTTACAGCAGAGCATATGTCGTCGACACTCTCCATAGCCAGGACAGCTCACCAGGCATTTCTGTCTGCAGAAGAGAAGTTGACAAAGACCTCAAAAACACAGGCTGAACCTTGCCTGATATGTAGGTGTACACGTACGAAAATAATAGAAAAGTGATTGCTAAAAGGAAGACTGTACAAAAGGTGATAACTGGTGGGCAAGCGTTGACACTCTCACCATGATCAGCAGCATCTCTCTCCCTCCCTCTCTCTCTCTCTCTCTCTCTCTCTCTCTCAACCTTTAACAGTGGGGCAATCACCTCCCAACGAAGATAGCTTCCTGTCTCTTATACACATCTAGATGTGTATAAGAGAGAATCTGAATATGTGGCCTCTCTCTCTCTCTCTCTCTCTCTCTCTCTCTCTCTCTCTCAACCTTTGACAGTGGGGCAATCACCTCCCAACGAAGATAGCTTCTGTCATCTTCCAGCAGCATCTGAATATGTGGCATGACCTGATAGAGCTAGACCGCTCTCCAGAAAGGTCGACATTGATATCAAAGCTCATCAGGCAGAGAACTCTCAAATGATTTCCTACGATACCGTTGGCACCCAAAAACTTCTGTTTCTCTTCTTCCGTGCAACGTGACAGATGAGCCAAAGCAGGTACACCCATATTAGCACCGTGGGCCGTGCTTGACGTGACAGCACAATTCCCATTACTCCGTGTTGCCTCCTGCACAAGCAATGCGGAGGCTTATATGGGACAGAGCAAACCCTGAAGCATATGCAGTATCATGCAAATCTGAACTGCTCACCCTCCTAGATCAACCAAAACGTGGCAGAGACCCCTACTGTTCCTGCTGTTCACCCATTGGATGGTGATCCTCCATTCCGCCTGCCGCTTCCCATGAATAACTGCACTTGCCAGAATCCCTGTTACGTAGCTGTATAGAGGCTTGTCTGGACGTGTGTCAGGAGCAGCCAAGCTAACGTTGCACATGTCTCCAACCTGCACTCTCTCTTGGCTCAGTCACAGCAGTCTCAGATACGTCCTTTGTGCCTTCTTTTTGTGAGATCAGGCGTGATCCACTTCGCTTCGGTGTGCTATTACACTCTATTGGCTCCTGAAGGAGCCCCATAGATCTCTTCTGGGAGAGGGCAAAACCCTGAAGCAAATGCAACACGTGACTTTGCAAGACCTTCTTTACGAGTCAGAGTCGTTCGCCATACACACCTGTGTTCAGCTCCCCCCTATATCTGGCCACAGCGACTGCAGAGAGACACATTGTTTGTCACTTCCCTCAAACAGACCTGCTTGAGTTAACATGGCCTCTCTACGAGCACACCCTGTGTCCTCTGGACTCAACAATGCGGCCATGACACTCGCCAACAAATTGCTGCTCCTACCCCACGCAATTGAACCTGCGACACTCTGCACTGAGTATGCACCTGAGACAATTTCCTCGACCAAACTCCACCCTCCACATCCAACAATGACACTGTCACTGCAGCGTTAGGCAATGACATGAGCATCCCAGTTGCTAAACAATTGACTCTTTTCCTCGAATTAGTGACTACAATACGACTGGATTTCTGCCTGGTGGACTGGCATGAACCGGTACAGTACCTGGCAACGTCAGGCTTGGCAGGTCACATCCAGAGGGGGTGGTGGTCAAAAGAGCAGCTGCTCAGCAGCAGAAATGCTAACCAGCATCATGTGTCACTGCCATCTGTCATGCACCAGAGGCACCACTTCTCTTCATGATTCACAAGTTGCAAACTTGCAAGTTGCAACACATAATGTCTCATACATCCAAACTATAGAAAACGTCACCAAGGCAATGAGTGATTCAGATAGAGAGAGCAGGCAAGTGAACTGAACAAATGCTGCCAGCTTCTGCAATGCACCAGATCACCGTCAGCAAATGGTACAAAACCTCCCCCTTTGATTGAAGTCCCTATGAGCAGGATGCTCATCCTGCTCAATTTAGTAGTAGGAGCCCTACACGTGGCGTGATGCGCAAGCTGTTGCCGCAGGGTATGCAATGCTATCAACGCCACCAAGAGTTTTAAAGCGAGCATATTCATCAGCATCACAATGCCCCGCACCTTCAGAAAGCACAGTGGCTCTTGTCCAGCTACTCACGGCCATCTCAGCCACAATATTCAATGGGTCTCCTCACACATACCACTAAGCGCTGAGAACTTTTGCCTGGCAGGAACCTGAACAGGACTCGATTGTGAGCTCCGGCCGTTGCCAACCCTGCACCTGACTTTCCATTTCAAGCTGACTCAGGAAGGAAGAGCAGTCCTGTGCTTGATTCTTTGCAAGTTGACAGAAGCAGTTCTAAAGTTAGCAGCAGTTCTCAGTCCTTGAAAAGTCTCAGAAATTCTCTCCATCTCTCAGCAGTACTCAGCAGCTCCCAGCAGTTGTCAGTCCTCAAAGCAAAACCAGGGAGCATGCGCTTGCGGACCTTCATGGCTGAATGGTCCACACCTTGGAACTGCTGATCCTCGAGTCAGGAGCTCAAAACTTGACCAATTTGACACTGTTAGGTGGCCAGACACCCTGCTACAGACAGCAGAAGGACAACAAAAGAGATCCTGCCGGATGAAGCTCCTCTTCACAAGCCTTTCCAAAGAGCGAAATCGACCCGTTGGAATGAAATTGTTCGCATGCTGAATAAATGACATTATACACTGTTGCTTGAAAAGAAGTACTGGCATTCACATCCTAAAATCAGCATCCCCGTTACTCTGCTTCCGACAGAGCTTCCTCAACTGCCATGACGGAATTAGCGTTCCCTTCACGTGCTGAATTTTCTTTTCCCTTTCCTTCTTCAAACAGGGGAAATCAACCTCCTCCCCTCCTGAGAGGGGATAGTTTGCCTTTGTTTCTTCCGCTAGCGGGAGGCATAACTACCAATTGTGTTCGGCCCGATCCAGAAGATCATTCAGAATAGCATGTGCCATCTCGCCGAAAAAGGGCCTTCAGCTGGTAACAGCACTTCTGGAGTAAACATTCAGAGGAAATAGCAGGCACCTTCCCGAAACGCACAAGGCATTGCAATGGAAACAGCACTGACATCATCGGCTACCATGATACTATGGCATGAGCTACGGCATCAGCTATGACCGCATCAGGTGGGGCAAGAGCTATGCCCCAAAGATGGCACTGAAGTTGCATCTCGAATGGGATCAGCATTCGCAACAGCTTCCAGAACTGACATCAGCAAGGGTACTTGTCAATATTGCACACGAGGTAAGGACAGAACAGAAGGACTGCGGCATCAGCGAGGGCACTTTTCTATTTCACATCCGCCATAGCAGAACAGAAGACGTGCTACAACACTTGCATCGTGAGCAAATGTCCTTGCCAACAGGCTACTCCGCTTGCGACAGACAAAACAGCCACATTCCACCCCCAAGCCCTTGTTCCAGCTCTGGCACTTCGGTACAAGTCTGTTCTGCTCGTCCATCTCAGTCCAGTCTAGCCTGCAGACACAGTCAGCGTCCTCTAGCAGCGGGCAGAGCAACCAGTCAGCAACAATCAACAGATAGCTGCGGAAGGGATTGTCCTCAGGTTCACACAGACAGGCCCAATAGGTAAAACACATCACAGCAGTCCGGCAAGTTTGCCTCAGAGAGGGCCAGTGCGCACAGCAGTCCTGGTCGGAAACAGAAAGTCCCTCTGAGGGACCGGATTCTCCTTTCTTTCTGCCAGAGAGTGCCAGTCTGCACAGTGGGCTTCACAGTGGGAAACTGAAGGTCCCACTGAGGGACCAGGCTGCCCTCAGTGGGCCTCAGTTATATCACAGCAGGGATTGCTGTTCACGGATCCAAGCTTTGGCTTCCTCTAAATCCTTCACAACAGGCAGATTCTGACGCCGCCATTCATCTGCTTCCTTCGAGCTGAACCTGTCCACAAGCAGTGCATGCATCCCAAGTTGCCGAGCAGGTAGATAGTCCTTCTGATAACTGTCACCGATGTGCAGCACTTGGCTCGGTAGCACGGAGCCTGCAGCCTGCATCGCCATCTCATAGATCCGGTGATCTGGTTTTTCAACTCCAACAAGACCAGAGAATACTCCAAAATCCCATTCCGACCCCTGCGAGACCATCACAGCTCCAATGAAAATAAGATATCAATCTTTCTTTTCTTTTTCCGGAAGTACGCTGATGGTGTTCTGCATTGACCACCCTGATTACCACCATCTTGCCATTCGTCATCCCCATAAAGAAACCTGAGGGTGACAAGTGGCAAGGAAGGGAAAAGAGATGGGCTCAGAAGTCATTAGCAGAGACAGGCATCCACAATAGGATCATGAGAGGGAGGCAATCGGGTTATCAGAGAAAAGGTACATCCCAACTACAGCTTCAAAACCTTTTTCTGAAAAAAGAAAAATGGGCTGAGCACCTAATGTTACGATCCTGGTCATCTCCAAAGTGCAAATTCACAAGGAAAGACAATGCCACCCAATTACAAGAGAAACGAAAGCACTTGCAAAGAGAGAGAGACCAAAGAAGGGAGAAAGAAGAAGAAGAAGAAGAAGAAGAAGAAGAAGATGTACACCTGCAAGACAAATGACAAATCCCCCTTCTCTCACCACCTTCCTCCTCCTCCTTCACTTCGCCAATCTTATTCTTCTTCCAATAATAATAATAATAACAATGAGTGGATGAACCAGAATCAATATCCGAAGTTCCCTCTTACTGCTGACACAACATCAGGTCCACCATAGCCATGGCTTCCCCCGTCTTCCTCCTCTCACATGCCTAGGCTATGGTGGACTACTAAGGGCTCTACCCTCCTGTCCAAAGGACAACCCAAAGCACCTATGTCGCTGCCCTCCTGTCCAAAGGACAACACAAAGGAGCTATGCCGCTGCTCAATAAGCCGCCATGCCTGACTCTGCCTCGAGCTTCCGTGGTGCGACACTACCCCAACTGGGGACTTCCAGATGCAGCGCCTAACAAGGTGATGAAGATGGTGTCCACCATAGCCAGGTAGGTACCTCGCCACTCTCCTCCTTCCCCCCCTTCTTCCTCCTCCTCAGGCTGGGCTGCTCGCCATAGCCAGGTTGAGCGCCCAGCTGCTCTCCTCCTCCAGGCAGCGCTCCAAGTCCAGCGCTTGGCTCTAGCAGTATGTTGCCAATCCTTGCACACTGCAAATGAGGAGGAGCTGCTTGCTCCTCCCGAAGATATAGGGGCCTACTTGCCTCTTGGGCAGTGACTTCCTAGGCCGTGCGGCCTCCCAGCAACCGCTACCTCCTCCCTTTCGGAGAGAAACATCATTGCAGGCTCTGATATCATCCGGACAGGCCCTAGACTCAGGCTACTAGGACTGCTACCGGCCTACCTCTAGCCTACTGCAACTGAGCCTCTAAAAATGCCAACTTTTTGTCCTCTTCTGCTTGGCCTCCAGTACCCGACACTTCTACCACTACTTGAGTGGTACCGGCCTACATTCTACTTGAATGTTCTTCCCCGCTGCAACCCTCAAAGTCACGGCCACAGGTAAGTACCGGCCCTGCGGGGCCTCAAAACCAACGAGTACCCTTGCGGGTCACACACACACTCAGGCCGACAAGCACTCAGACAGGCACGCAGACCAGCAGGCACACACACACACACACAGACTTAGAAATCACAGCAGAAGGTCCAGCGCTGGCGCCGCACGGTGAGCGCTGTTTCTTTCGTGCGCTAACTCTCTGCGTTCGCACCCGTGGACTTTCCTGTTCCCATGCGCGGGCGGCCGCGTCATCTGAAATTTGAAGACGAAGGCCATAGCTGAAGGTCAAGGCGCGCGCCCGTGTCAACAGTGTCTGGTGGGTGGAAGGCGAAGGCCATCGCGGAGCACCTGCGCGACCGGTCTCGAAGACGCCAGACTTACCTTTGCTCGAGTGACCACGATCAGTCCCAACAATCTCCAGAACCGCCATGTCCGAGCTTTCGATTTCGAAGACGAAGCCCTGGCCGAGTGAGAGCTACTAACCCCCTTTTGTCTATTCCATCCCGATTTTCACCCCCCCGATCCTTTGACTCCTTCCCGCCCCCATCCTGACCTCGACTCCCTCCCAATCCCAACTTCTACTCCCTCCCATCCCGATTTCGACGCCTTCCAAATCCCGAGCCCGGTTCTCTCTGATCCTGACCCATCCTGACCTCGACTCCCTCCCAATCCCCGACCTCGTCTCCCTCCCAATCCCAACTCCCAATCCCAACTTCGACTCTCTCCCATCCTGATTTCGTCTCCTTCCCGACCCCGATAGAGCCCATCTCTATCCCCTTCGACTCCTTCCCACCCCCATCCCGACCTCGACTCCCTCCCAATCCCAACTTCGACTCCCTCCCATCCCGATCTCGACTCCCTCCCAATCCCAAGCCCGGTTCTCTCCGATCCTGACCTATCCCGACCTCGACTTCCTCCCAATCCCGACCTCAATTCCCCCCCAATCCCTACCTTCCCGATGCATCCCGACTCTTGGCAATCCTGACCCTCAGCTCGACCCCGATCCAACCCCATCCCGACGCCCTTCCGTTCCCATCTCACTCCTGATCCCGTCCCATCCCGTCCCCAACCAAACCCCGATCCATACCGTCCCCAGCCTCAACCCGCACACCCTACCCAATTCCTTTATTCCGGCCCACTCGTATCCATATCCCGGCCCACCCCGATCCACCCCAGCCCACCCCACCCGATCCCGATCACTTTTTTCCAACTCATTCGCCCCTTTCCCAATCCAGATTGAGCCGAATCCGACTCCGCTTCTCATCGGCCCCCGATCACTCTGCCCACCCATCTCCACACCAATTCGTTCCTGGCCCTCCCGATTCTCCCTTCCATTGCCCTCCGCGTGCCCGGCCTTATCGCACCTACGCACTTTCCGGTTGGACCTAATATTCCCACCCTTCCCCCATCCTCCCCCAGCATCCCCTTTCTCGCTCGTCGACTGCTCAGTCGAGTCATCAAGTGTCATCTTCCACCTTCCCAATACCATCAGTACCATCCCTCGCCCCTCTGTTAAATAGTAAGGCATCTCCCACCCTTTCCTCCCCATACACGCTCCTAGACTCGACCCCAACCTAGCCCCACCCCGGTTCCTTCCCCATCTCCGGTCGAACCCCACCCCTGTCCCACCCCCTCCCCAATCCCGGTCTTGGTCTCAGTCCGATCCTGATTAGCCCCCGTCTCGACCCCATCCCGATCCCGACCCCATCCCACCCTGATCCTAACCCAATCCCCGCTTGACCCCATCTCGACCAAACCTCGATCCCAACTCGCTCCCATATCGCTCCCATCCCGATCCCAACCCGGGTCCCATCTCATCTCCGAATTGATCCTACCCTTCTTCCAATCTATCCCCTTCCTTCCCCTTCCCCCCTGGGTCGGTTATTCATCCCACATTACCTGACCTGACGTCACGAAACAAGAGTGGACGGATCGGACAGCGAATAAAGAGTAGGTGAGGACTGATTCTTCCGTACTAGAAGAAAATGGCTTCCCCAATCCAAAGCGCGGGTACATCGAATCAAAACATGCGGGAGAAGGGCATCAGCGTAATAGACAACGAGGCGCTCAAATTCTTAATAGATAAGACAAAGGTACAAGGGATACAACCCACGGAGATTCAAAAAACGGAGGGCAAAGAAGAGGAAGTTATTGTGTGGAAGTATCCAAAAGAGAAGGTGGCGGAATTGGATGAGCTGCATGAAAGACACGGAGTGGTATTTAATTTTGCACGTAGTGGCGCAAAACTGCAGCCAGCGGAGAAACGCAAATGGGTCATCGAAACGATCAAGAAAGAACTAAAGCTAAAACAATCAGAAGAAACTTTCACGCTGCAAAATTTGGGCAGAAACAACATCTTAGCACTGTTGATCAGAGAAGAACAGGCAAAAGCAGCAGCCGAGATGCAGTCCAGGAATTGCAACGGCTCGGTCTGCACGATCACCAAGTGGAAAAAAGTGTCCGCACAGAGACAACATCCAGTCTTTTCTGTCTCCTACAAACAAACCTTGTTAAAAGAGAACTTCTGGGTCCAGTTCGACAAAATCCAACCAGGTTTCCACGGCCTGCTGGTGGATAGACTAGAAAGAAAGTACCCAGCGAACAAGATCCTTAAATGGATCCTACCAACTCCCGACTTCCTGGCCCCGCACCTGTCTCTTATACACATCTAGATGTGTATAAGAGACAGCCTACAAACAAACCTTGTTAAAAGAGAACTTCTGGGTCCAGTTCGACAAAATCCAACCAGGTTTCCACGGCCTGCTGGTGGATAGACTAGAAAGAAAGTACCCAGCGAACAAGATCCTTAAATGGATCCTACCAACTCCCGACTTCCTGGCCCCGCACTGCGGTTCCATGACGTCATTGCTAGAAGTCAAAACAGACAACCCCTCAGTTTTTCCCCAAACTTGGAAGTTCCAGATTGAAAACAAAACAGTGGAGATTAAAGTATCGACAAAGACTGCGCCGATCTGTTATCGATGTAGGGAACGGGGGCACACGGGTACAGATCCTAATTGCCCCAAATACCCAAAACAGACGAAGGAACGCAAACTCCTCCCCAATATGCTGGTTGAGGTGGAGGACGCCCCGGGAATCTGGTTCATTGCGGACAGCAACTACAATGGTTGGGTATTTGATGACAACTTGGAGGAACCGGATTGGGTTTGGCATTACGCCGACCTGGAACCATCAGTAAAGAAACCAAACATCTTTCCCCCTGCAGACAGCATATGGCAGAAAAAAGCCACAGGGAAGGTGACAGACAACCCGACAAAGATTGAAACCGATCCTTTGATCGACTCGCGGGTAATCAGAGAAGAAAGGACAGAGAGGACCTGCTTTGGGACTTGGACACGGTCAAGGAACAAGCAGTCCAGCAATTCATCAAAGAACCTAACTCGGATTGATTTCGAGGGAGGGATTCGCCTCCCTATTGCGCACCACGTGGTGCCCATTGCGGTGAGCGGCTCCAACAAGGACTTCCGTGAACAGTTGTCTGTGATGTCCCCCATGCGGATTGATTTTGAGGAGCAGACTCCTGATTGGGCCAGATTCACTGGACCAACCCCACCCGGTCTACAGTTGAGCGAGGACATTCCAACACAGGCTCGGGAAGGATCACAGGGCATGGTCTACAAGAGTAGGACCTGAGCTGTTGAGGTTGGAGGACCTGACCCACCACAACATTTAGCTGCACGACTTGCATCAGTGTTGCCGCCCGAAATCGACGCCAGCAAGGTGCGCCAAGTGAGGAGTTTGGCGGGCAGAAATAACGGAGAGAAGAACAAGCCGAAGGAGACAACGGCACCAATGACAAGAGGTGGAAGAGGCAAGGGACGCAAGACAGTCTCACCGCCGGCGACCTTGAAAGAGAAGCATGCTGTTGTTCGGCAGGCGAAGAAGAGGAAGGCACGAAAAGTTCAAAAGAAACTTGCCGCAGTCTTGCAGTCGCTGACATCCGAAAAAGAAGAGGAAGCGAGTGCAAGAGGACAATGAGTCTAGAACCAGTGGGCTTCATCTTCCGCATAGGAAAAGGAAGCGTCGGCAAGGTCATCGACTGACACGCCGTCATCCACCGGCACCAATAGCGGCAGAGAGAGAGAGAGAGAGAGAGAGAGAGAGAGAGAGGTTGAGAGACAGAGCGGGTGAGAGAGGGAGAGACACCTTCTTCTTCTTCTTCTACTGCTTCCTCCTCTTCCTCTTCTTCATCATGCACTCCTTTTTCCTCCTCGTCTATTTCCTCCGTGTCTAGGGTGGACTCCGTTTAAGCTACTTCACGGACGTACGAGACAGTCAAACTAGAATGAAGTGTTACAAGTGTTGGCTTTCTGCAATTGCAGCGTCGATTGCGTGGACTTGTGTCTTCTTCTTTTTTTTTTTTTCGTCTTTCTTTTCCGTGTTTGATTCCGTGCGGCTATTGATTGAACCGTGTATAAGGTTGTATGAGCCTGTATCAATGTCGAGGATCATCCGCCAAAAGAATCCCCGAACACCCCTGACCCCAAACAGCAATGCAAAATGTCAAAATACGTAGTGAACCGTTTACCTGCTTCAACCCCCTCCGAGCCCAGGAACAGCCCCTCATAACCATGAAACAGGCAACCCCAGCTGTACTCAGCAAGTGCAGTACAGCCCCGAACTCAGATTAAAAAAAAAATCAGAGTATGGCTGTTTTCTGACTGGTTGGCGCCGACCAGTCGGCCCTACTTGTTGGCTGCAATACGGTCGTTGGTCGGCGTCGACGGTCGGCTGGGGTGCAACCCTGGTGTCCAATCACATCATAATGTTATTCTAAAAATAAACTACAGCCTCATGTATTATATGCTCTATACTAAAAATTAATATTATTAAAATTTGTATTCTTTATTTTTTAAATCCTCGAAATTCACGTCCCCATTTTGTTACTTAAATATTAATATGATCATCATACTTGCAGCGCACTGAAGCGGTGCGCCTTGTGGTGCACTGCGCCGTGCGCCATGCGCTCACGGATGATGTGTGCACTGCGCGCACAGGCAGTGCGCTGGAGTGCGGCCGAGTGACCTTCATGCCCACGAGTCTGCGGATGAGCCTTTCTTTCTTTTTTTCTTTTTTTTTTTTGTGTGTGTGCGTGTGTGTTTTTGCGCCGTTGATACAGGCGTTTGTCTGCTGTGCCACGACACCATTCTCCTGACACAATCGGACCGAACAAAACGCCTGTATCAACGGACGCTATGGATTCTCGACAGAGGGCGTTTTGTTCAGCCCGATAGGCCCGTTGCTTTTCGTTTTTTTTTCCTTTTTTGTTTTTGTCTTATTTGGGAAACAGCCTGTTTACTGACAGGGCCTCACTCAACTGCTCTCCACATGCACAAAAGACCAAAATATGGCGGTGTATCTTTCTATGTTCTAGCAGAAGATTCATTCTCATTTTGCACATTTGGAGAGTGGCGGAGCGAGGGCCATACAACGGTAGCCTGGGGCCTCGCTCCACCACTCTCCAAATGTGCAAAATGAGAATGAATCTTCCGCTAGAACATGGAAAGATACACCGCCATATTTTTTGTCTTTTGTGCACGAGTAGTGGAGCGAGGCCCTTGCATCGCACCGGACTACAGCTGGACTTGAAGGTTACTTGCAGCCCTCATGTGACAGAGGCACTACAACGAACGTGTGTAGTTGAGAGAGGCCCTACGGATTCTGGCGGCAGGTAAGTTGTAGTAGGGCCTCACTCTACTACTCTCCCATTTGCGCAAAATTAGAATGAATCTTTCGCTAGAACATGGAAAGATACATCACCATATTTTTTGTCGTTTGTGCATGTGTATAGCTACTGCGTGTTTCCACATTGTTGGTTTTCAACTTGTCACGAACGTTCTCTCTCTTTTTTTTTTTTTGAGCGAAAGCACCAATGAAACACAACAGTCAGTTTTGTCGTTTTCTATACCTGGAAGTAATGAGCCGAAAGCAACGGTTCCACAGACATGTCCTCATCATGACTGTATTGGACCTCTGAAAGGGCTTAGATACACTGAAGGTAGCATGGAGTTGTGTACAGCAAACATGACAACACACACAGGTTTTGGGGCCGCGCGGCCCTGAAAAAAATTTGCGCGGGCAATGTCCTAATTTTGGCTGGGCGTGGGAACTTCGATTCACCCCCTCCCCAACTTTTTTTTTTTTTGGCTGACCCCGAATTTTGCCCATCTGGCGCACTGGGTGCGCGCGCCACATGCGCAATGCGCAGTGCGCCGCATGTGCATGAGTGGTGCGCACGGGATGCGCCGCAAGTATGATGATCATGCAACAGGGAACGTATATGGCCATATCCATCTCTCCTTCGTTTAGTTCGCCATTCATCATCTTACAACATAAAAGTCATCCTATAGGTCTCTCCTTCATTAGAAGAAGTGATCACTATCTCTTGGACAACCTCCCTGTCTATGATTCCTAGCCTTTTCTAAGAAGATCCGGGTACTTAGCGACAACATTT